GTGTGTGTTTTGGGACAGCGCATCCTGACAAGTCTTCCTGCTGGAAAACAGATGAAATAAATACCTGATGGATTTTGCAATCAGCTGCAAGAAAACAGCACAGATGAGCTAAGCCCAACACCCTTCCCCTTGTCCCCTTGCCTTTGTGGGAGGATTTTTTAGAGGATTTTGGCCATTGCTTCAAACTTGGATGCCCAGGCCCATCTCTAGTAGCCTGCAGAAGAATCTGCTCCCCTTCATTTATGCTCTCCCTGCAGGTTTCCAGGAATAGCCATGGCCAGCAGCAGCTGGATGTGAGCAGGAGATCTGGATGGCTTCCCCTGTCTCCCTGGCAGAAGCCGAGGAAGAAGCTCTCTGGGTGTGGGAAACTTCACAAGGAGGCTGGAAGGGGGTTCTTCTCAGGAACTTGAATCACTGAGCACCCACCCCAAAGGTTATTTGTTGAATTAATGCACGTTGCAGAGCTGGGTGTATAAGGAGAGGAAGGAAAAAGAGTAGTTTAAGGAGTTCCCTTGACATTTTTGGGAGCAGTCCAGGCTTTGTCCCTCTAGGAAGGGCCTCCTCACTTTATTACAAGCAGAAATATATGCAATGGCTCCAGCTGGTTATCAGTAATCTCCTGAATAGTCAGAGGTGCAGGGGGGATATTAAATTCTTGACGTTTTCTGGCAATATCATGAACTGACTTGAAGTTGTAGTGTCTTTCCAAATGAGGTTGGGCACGATCTCTGCTCTCCAGCAGCCTCTGTGCCAGAGAAAGGATCAGGCTACATGTTTCTCAGGGTATTTCAGTATGCTGAAGCATTCCTTTCCTCTAGCTCTTCAACACAGGAGACCAAGCAGGTCATTTTTCTGCCCTATGCCTAACTGTATTTGCAGGATAAGCTAACTAGAAAAGTCAAAGGAAACAAAATGAAACTCAGCAGCACAAGGCAACATAAAATACAGGGATAATGGGCTCTTTTGGGTCTTTTTCCAAAAGCTGAGAATCTTCAGCTGAGCAAAAACAACACCCTGAAGTACTGCTTTTGGAGGAGGATATTTTTGAATCATATGTTGTATTTTCAGCAGTGTGGGGATTTCTCCTGGGAATTTCCCTCCACATGCCATTGCCGGCATTGCTCAAAAGATGTTCGGCATGTCCTGGGTTTAATTTATCCCCAGGGCCATTGCTACAGACAGAGCTCTGCTGTTGTAACAGCTTCTCTCTCCAGCCAGGGCTACTGAGGGAGGAGGAGGATGAAGTCACATTTCCTATTTTTTTGATGCCAAATTCCTCATCCCCTTGCTGCCTCCTACTTTGACCCTGTGAGAGCAGAGGCTGTGCGTGGGTGTGAAAGCTCAGCTTTTGCTTACACCCTGCAGCAGGGTCTAAGCAAAAACCTATCTAAAAACGTAGAATTTTTTGCAGGTAACAACGTAAGGTGTTGCATTGCTCTTGGGCTGTGCTTTTTCCCTTCACAGGGACCCCTGTAACTGGGATCTGATAGTATGATCCCCTCCTTCCTGCCCCAACGGGGTTGGCGGAGGGCCAAAGAGCCCTCCCTCTCCTGAGCCTAGGTAAGGCCCTGTCCTTTCCTGGTTCACACTCTTTTCCCCTTCATCTCATGGAATAAACAGTTTGGACAACCACATCAGGGGAATTGAAGCCTCTTTGGAATCTTTGCCCAGCTGCTGACCCCCCTTCCCTCAAGGCCCCCATATATTTGGGCTAGCCTGGTGATTTGGGGGCTGCGAGGGACAGGTGCGTCAGTAAGTGATGGAATTGGTTGTCTCTTCTGTCTGACCAAATTATTTCACTCAGGTATTTGGAGTAATTTTTTTAAGGTCATGCTACACAGGAAGGAAATAAGACTGTCTTTTAAATATTAAGTTGATTTGGGAGATAAAGAGGCATTTATCCATTCTGATGTTCAACTAATAGCAGACATTTTTGAAATATTCTGAAGTAAGACATTTGAATAGTTTAGTGGCTGGTGATTTGCAATGCAGTTTAATAAAGATCTAATATCCTTTCTCCAAAAGGCAGACTAAATATGTTAAATAGCAAACTTCAAGAAAGCAAACCTGAATTTTTCTTGCCCATGTTTTCCCTTTCATTAGATTCATGCAGTTCATTTCATAGATATCCAGATGTTAGCAATGGAACTAAAAAAAAAAGAAGACCCAAAACTTTGGAGGTTGTAGCCTCCAAAGGAATTTAGTGACTTAAATCCCATCTGACACCCAATCCAAAACCTACAGAAGTTAATAGGAAGATTTCCATTTACTTCATGGAGCTCTGGATTGAGATCCCAGTTTCTCCACAGAAATTTTTTCTTCTTGTCACAATGCTAAACTAAAGGCCATTAAATACAGAGGATCTGAATTCAAAGTGTTTTCTATTATTTTCACCCAGCTACTTCAGAGACCATCAAAACAGCATCTTGGTGTGTGAGGCACTGCAAATTTCTTTCTGAAAAGTCTAGTTGGCATGTTTGCTCAGGATTATATCAAATAGAGAGATGATCAAACAATGCATGTGGCCTACAGAGGTGGAGCTGTACCCCAGTCCTCAGCCAAGTTGTGCTTTGTGAACACCAGGGTGAATTTTGCACAAGGAACCAGTTTACTGGATATGCTCAGAGAGGAAATAAGAGTTTGCAATGTGATTTGTGCAGCTGGAGTGTGCATCATTCACTTTATGACCAAACATACAGAGATATGCTCAAGTTGAAGCATGTCTGAGCAGGCACTTCAAGGCCAGCTGATCCAAGGGTCAGGTTTACAAAACTGTTGAGGTAAGCAGAAGACAGATGCTTTGCAGGGAATTTGACACTTCTCCTGTCAGGGTGCTTCTCTGTCAGGGGACCACTCAGCAGCTTTACAGCCTGGTTGGTGTAAATCTGACTGTGCTGTGCTGCCCTGGTGAGTCACCACCCCAGGGCAGTCATCATTTAAACTGACATCTGACCAAAGGTCCCAGGCAAAGGACACTTTGCCACCCCTGCACAGCATCAAGTTCCTGACACAATCCTGTGCTGGTGCCGAGAGCTCGAGGTTTTCTCTTTCTTCTCTTTTCTTTTCTTTTTCTCTTTTCTGATGCCAGTCAGAAAAGCAGGACTCAGTGGGCTGGGCTGGTGTTTGTGACCTGGTGTAGAGGGAAAGGGGTGCAAACCTCAGGGAGAGACGTGATGGTGATGAGCTGACCATGAGCCTTTCCAGCCTGGGCGCTGGAATGGCAGGAGCTGGTTTGGCAGCAGACCCAGCTCTCGTGCAGGGGCTGCAGCTGTCGGAGCAGCAGCAGCGTGTGTGCTGTGCTGGTGCAGCTAATAGCTGCTTTGAGGACTTGCCTACATGGGAAAATTTACCAGCGTAATTATCCCACTGTAATTATCCCAGGATAACTCTCCCTGTGGATGTGCTTAATATAACATAGGGTATGTATGCATATATGGCAAATCTCCTGCACAGATGGAGGTTTAAGTTACATAGAGGAGGAATGTTTACATTGCAGCCCAGCAGCAAAGCACAGTTTATATCCTACTTCCCAGCAAATGTTACACCCAGAATTTTCTGTGCCAGAGGTACTTTCAGGGGGAAGTACGTGTCATTTGATATGATCAGCAAAAATGTAAAGCCTCAACCTTGCCCTATAAACATGGGGCACAACATTTGCTTTTACAGAATCACTGTGGAAGCCAGGGTGAAGGCTGGGACACTGCTTTGTACCTCTCTATGATCCTGTTCAACTCTTTTTTTATAGAGTGATCATTTAAATTTGTTGTTTATTTGATTTTTTTTTTTTTTTTTTTTTTTTTTTTTTTTTTTTTTTTTTTTTTTTTTTTTTTTTTTTTTTTTTTTTTTTTTTTTTGTTCAAAACACTGTGACTGAATTTGGGAGAAACCCTTGGATCTCTAAAAGCTCTTCAAACACGTGATTTTGACTTTCTCTACCCAGCTTCCAGGACAGATACTTTTGCCAAATATTGTCATTCCCATTGCTTGAGTTCTTACTCCCCTCTCCTCTGATAACTTTCCTACTTCGGATTTTAGCTTCTTCAATCTGATATAAGGTGAATAGCTGGGGAAATGATGAGCACCAAGTGTGTTTTTCTATATTCCATGACGAAAAAAAGAATTTGCTGGGAGGAAGCTGAGCCTGCACCCTGTAAGAGGATAAAGGTGGCTGCACTTCCTGAAGCATGCTCAGCATTCACCCATCACTGCTGCTGTCAACCTGACTTGGGGTGAAGCAGAGGTGTCCATCATCAGGAGTCACTTGGCCAGACCAAATTTACTGGGATAGCAGTCCCAAAAGGAAGTGATAATTTTGTTTTGGGCCCAAGTCAGTTCTGAAGGAAAAAGGAAAAAAAATCTAACCAATAACTAATCTCTCTAAATTATCTTTTAATTTTCAACAATTAAAAATAATGAGTGGTGTGATAATAGGCTAGAAGAAATGGCACAATAAATTAAGCAGCAGCACTTGGAAACAAGATTTTGAGTTGAAATTACTCATCTAGGTGTGTCATAAAGTTTAGATCTGATGCATTAGCTGTTATTAGAAGGTCAGTAGTAAAATAATTGCAAATGGTTGTGTTGCCTGGATTATGCCTAAACCAAACCTCCAGACCTAAACAGTCTGATCTACTGTCGGGTGCCAAAATTACTTCTGAGAGACAGTTCATCTGCGTTTGCCCTGCTGCAGTGTCAGCAGGAACGGTAAGTTTCAGAAATCCCATAGAAAACATTTGATTTGCGCAACACAGTTTCCAAAACTTTAACTGTTATTTCTTTTCCAGCATCTGAGATAGAGTTATTTTAGGATTATTGCCCATGTGAAACTGTACTGTGTTTACAAGAGTCCTTTTTCTTGTTTTCCAGCTTGCTGAAAAATCCTGGCTTTGCAGTAAGGCAGCTGACTCACTTCCAGTTCAACAAAAAACCTTGGAAAATGGCCTCTGTGTCAGGTTAGTCTAAATTATAACTCTCTACTAGCTTCACTTCAGCCTAATCCTCTACTTTCTTGTTTTGCCAAAAGTCAGCCAGACCTTTCTTGCTGTTTTCTGCCATCTTTTTAAAAATCATTAAAGTATAAAGAATACATATTGCCCTTCAGTATTCCAGCTCACAGTCACTGAATGATGATGTATGATAGGTGTTCAACTGTGTGGCTGTCCATCTCCAGTGTTGCTTCTCTCAATTTTTCAGGCACTTTTGTGGGTCGAAGCATACCAGTTGAAGTGGATGAATCCATGCCGTGGTCCCAGTTACCTGAACATGTCTTGGAAAAGGCTTGGCAGCCTTCTGGAGAGGATATGGAGGATGAGGAGGCCCAGAGCTCACATGTTGCTCAAACACCTCAGGCTGATCCATCTTGCTTTTGCAGAGCACCAGCACACCATCACTCAGCACTGTCTGTGGAGCCAGACAGCAGCTTGTGGTCAAAATATACTGATCCTGATGGAGGTGGACACTTCTGTTCCCCTGGTGAATCAATTTCAGGAGTATTTCCCTCGAAGACACATTCTATAGCTGTGGACAAACCAGGCATGCAGCCAAGATCACAGTTTTCAGCTGACACCAGGCACAAGTCCAGTCAATCAGAGCAGATCTTGTCTGATGTTCCTGAGGACTCACTGGAGGAGAGCAGCCAAGGGAGTTCACAGTCACAGCAACCCTCAGGAAACAGACTCCTGGCAGAGCTGGGAACTGTAGATACCGGGTACAACTCTCAGTCACAAGATGTCATGGGCATCAGGCATCTGGAGCCTCCCTTACCACTGGTGTCTGTGCTGAACCCCCAGGACCTCCCAGGACCGCTGATCTCCAGAGAATTTTTGGCTCCTGAGCATCAGCAGTGCCCTATGTGCCATCACTTGCCCCATCCCAACACGCCCTCGCAAGGCCACGGCTGCTTCAGGCTCCGCTGCCCAGCACAGCAGCCCCCCCAGGGCCCATGTGAGTAGCACCTCTCACCCCAGGGCGGTTCTCTGGGTGTGTATCAGCCATTGTTCACCAAGGGTGTGTTTCCAGCATAGCATGCAATTATTAAGCTCTTTAGACATCTAATTGCAGTCCATTTTACAATTTCAGATTTTTGGGTTATGTGGCTGGACTCTCTGCTGCAAAACCTCTGAACCTCTTAAGTTAAAGAGGTCGTGGTTACTCACCAAGTGCAGGCAAATGATTTTGCTTAGAAACCAGCCTTTGTCGGGCACGCTGAGCATGCACAGCCTCTCCTGCTGTTATTTCATATTCTAGTCATTTCCTTCCTCCTTGCATCAGTCATTCAGCAGCCTCCTATACCGACTCAATTCCTGTTGTTTTCATAGATTTCCTTGCTCCCCTTTGGATCCCCAAAGTTGAGAATTTCCTGCCAGGATCAGGATGGGAGGTTACCCTTGATCTCCATAAATAGTATCTCCCAGCACTATGACCAGACTCACCCATGTGTTTTATTTCTATGTGAAAAGAGCGTGACATCCATCATCCTAATTTTTTTTTTCTGTTGTCAGCTGAAATGAGAGCTCATTACTTAAAATGGAGCCCTCTCAGCTGCTGGTGATTGTGTCGCTGAGCGCTGATGTGACTCCCTCAATATGGGTGTTCTGGCTCTGGGAGACCACAGTGCAGTTTACAGCCTGCTATTAATTAGTATTCCTTTTCAGTCTCTGAGATTTTTATCTGTGATGAGGTGAGCTTTGAACATTCAACAGCAATATCATTGTTTTAATATAATTTATATTACATTAGGCTTATGAGACCCTGACCTGTTTTGGGCTGGCTTTGTAATAAAAAGCTGTAGGCCTGTTCTGATAAATATTTTTTTTAACCTGTTTTGACTCCACAGCATTTATATTGCATCTGTTTAAGTTTTGTCATTTCAGCTATGTGCTATAATTAGGTATATGGAAGAGGAGGGTTTCAGAAACTCGGTTTCCAGCTCTGATTTTGGAACTTTGTAAAGGGGAAGGGGCTACAGATGGACTTCCAACATCTACAGCTTAACATTTGGAAAATGTCTTCTGGTTTTCCTTTCATACCTTCTCCTTTCAGTTCAGCTCTAAGCAGACAAAGAGCTGGTTGCCCAACACCCCTCACTATTTACCTCTGTTTACCTCCTCCGCAAGCAGGCATCGTGGGAAGTAGGACAGTTACTGAATGAGGACATTTTGTTTGAAAGCAGGAACTCTGAAAGGCTTTCTTCAGAAAAATCACTACCATTCCAGCCATATCCAGAGGGCAAAAAGAGTAAAATAAACTCAGATGGCTGGAGCAGATTTGGTCAGGAGCAAGAAGCTGGCAACTGTACTCCTGTTTCTCACATGCCTGCTACAGCATAAATCACCTCTTGACAGCTCCTTGTGTCTCAGATAATTGTTGGGCAGTGGCAACCCACAACAAAGCTCTGCACTCCCCTAGGGAATAGCAACTGTGCTTGGAGGCTCTAAGCTGGCTCGGGCACCTGCTATTTGAGATACAACAACAAAACTGCTTCTGAAGTCAAAGAAATGTTCACAACAATGCCGTGTGCCTGGGGACCATAATTTCAGATATTTGTCTACCAGGGATGTGGGGGCGTGTGGGCACACACGCCTGGCCACGCTTGCTTTGAACTCTGGCTGGATCCAATATACTGTACCACCAGACACATCCAGAGGAAGCTGATAAAACATTGGCCTTAAAACCTTCAAACCAAGTGTCCCAAATCCCTGTCACCTTCCCTAGAGCTGGCCACGAAGAATCCAGGAGGAAACAATATTGACTTGCAGTATGGTTCTCCCAGTCCCTTTCACCCTGTCCTGTTGCAAATTGTTAAGAGGGGGGTGGGAAAATCTCCTAAAACAATCTCAACAAATACAATGTTGCTGACTCACAATTTCATCAGGAATCTGTGTAATTATGGGGTTGGTTGGAGGGGGTTTTTTCTTAAGTATTGGCTCCTGGAATTGGAGTATTCCATGAAAGTTTTGTTTTCTTCTTTATCCTCCCCTTAAAGAAAAAACCAAAAAGAGATAGATGGTCCTCATGGCTGCTAGGGAAAGGAAGACATGGCCCAAAAATAGCTAAAAGGATTTTAAGAAACAGTTTTAGGGGGAAAAGAGTATTGGAGTACTGCAGCTTTTAGAGACAGCTCATAACACCATAATCATACAGTGCTAATAAGCCCTGCCAGGCTGGACTTTGATCTGCACACAGCAGCTTGGAAGTGTGCAGAGCTGCTGCCTAATGAAAACCACAAGCAGAAAGACTGAGAGAAAAAAATATATTCCTTTTCCCCAATTGGGAAACAAACAGCTTACATTGCTTTCTCTTTCAGTTTATGCCAACAGTTCCACTGTACAATAGTTATTAATCAGTATTATGTGTGACCTGCAACAGTAAAGTTTTTCAGAATTACTTGAGCAAAATTATCACTTTGGGCTTCCCCTGCAGCCTCTCGGATGGCAACGGGAGCAGTAACAAGTCCTTAAAATGTCACTTTGACAGAAAATTCACACAGGGTGAAGTAACAAGCTAAGTGAATATTTTTCCTCTTTTCATTTACAATAATCACAGTCTGTTTAGCCTTAGTGTTGCAAACTGATTTGTTCCAGGATTTTGCATCTGCTTTCATGAGAACTTCGGGATGATTCATTTTCACAAGTCATTGCCAAAAAGAAATTAAAAAAAAAAATCCAACCAAAAAACACTGAGGCACAGTAAGAGCAGGGACAAGGCAGCCCTGAATGTTTAACTGTCAGCTGTCCCAACAGCCCAACCCCAAGCAGGGATCTGAACCCTGCCATATGTGAATGGGAAATAGCAAGCTTTAGACTCCAAAACATTCCTTCATCTGGCTTCTTTCAGAGCGAGATACCTGCAAATGCCTCCAAACTGCTCAGTTTCCTGAGACATGCTTGGAAAGGAATAAACACAAACTAAGGCAAAAATGTGTTGGCTGAAATGATAGTTGCTGCCTTTATTTTCTCACCCTCCCAGATGGCAGAGCTCCTTACCAACATTTTGCTGAGCCATCGCAACCACTTCCTCCTGTTCCTGGACCTTGCATGAGAGTTATCCGCCCGGCCCAGCAAGTCATCCCAAATTACTCAAACCCCCGTGCTCCCAAAGGCACTGGAGATCGACCACCCCAGAGGACTTGCTCCTCCCCTGGTCCTCCTCGATTCCCGTAAGTATGCCTGGGGGGCGGGGGTTGTGGGAAGTGGAAGTTCCTCTGATCTAATTTTGTGGGCTTTCAACCAGTAATTCTGAATCCTTGTACTGTGAGCGTGCCCAGGCTGCAGGAGTACATGTGAGATGCTGGGTTGTTTTCTTTATTTGCTGTTTCAGACCCAATGGGGGCCTGACCCTTCCCTAAAGGACTTCAAAGCCGGATACATTGTTAGAGCACACACTGAAATGCATGCGTTAAGGAAGATAAATGCTTGAAGGTTAAAGGGAGGAGGGCTTGAAAAATACCTCACCTAAAATCTTAGAGCTCTCCTGCTCATGGGCAAAGGTCAATTAGGTGGCTTGCTGGGGTCTTCAGCTTTACACTGTACCAGCCTGGGACAACTCAATCACTGGCTTGCAGTGATTTCCTTCATACCTCTTCTGTGGTGCAGAGAAAAAGGGAGAAAATCCCATCAGTTGCTGACATATCTCTACATTGCAGTTTGCAGCCTTTTCTATGTGATTTCATAGCAAAATGTCTGGCCCTTTTCATCCAGGGCTTTTTGAATTATTTTCAGATACTAATTTACCAGGCCTTATATTCTTATAAGTATCTCATTAGAAGGTGGGACATCTTATTCATGCAGGGGTTCCTTCAGACTCAGCTATCTAAAATCAAACAAAGCCTCAGGTTTTGAGAATACCTGATATCAGACTGTTTTTATTCAAGTGCCACAATGCTTTTAGAGGTGTTAAACTTACAGGCATCTGTGCTTGAAAATGTCCACTTATGTGACATGGTCTTGGCAGGGAACTGTGAAAATAGGCAGGACAAAAGAGGGCAGACAGTTGAAATATCATTCTGATCTGGCCTGTGAAAAATTAAGGGCTGTAACAGAAAAGTGACAGCAAGATCAGGGAGTACCTGCAGCAGAGAGAATTGCACTGAAGAGTTTGTATGAAAATGTAAAAATGTTGGGGGATAGTGGATATCCTTTGCAGTAGTAAAAGTTAAAGCCTGATTTTTGGTACATTTGTTAGATAAGGCAGAGTTTTGGGAAGATCTGTAAATTAGCCACCGGCTAGTGTTTTTGTGACCATGGATGAGGCGTTTGTTGCTTTTATTAGTACTTTCTTCTGCTAAAAGAGATCCAGAATACTCGGGGTCTGTCCTGTGGCTGTGTGGCTGCTGCTTGCAGCTGACTCCAGGAACAGCAGTTATATGTTGGTAATATTTGCCTATAGAGTATTTTGTAACAGAAAACATCTGCACCAAAATGAATAAACCAAATCTTAATGTGACAACAGAAAACATGCTGTGACCAGCCTGTCATCATTCATTTAAGGAAGGCTAAGAAAAAAAAGAGAGTGGTCTTGATTGACTAAGCATCATGGCTCTGTGAGTAAAAGCTCTCAGAGAAACCTAAAACTCATCCAACAAATTCAACCCAGCAGATTGCAAGCATACCTTGCATAAAAATCTCTATAGATTCACCTTCCCATTTCAGACTTAAAATCTGAAACCGAAGTGTAATAGGACAAGAATTGCTAAAATCATCCCTTTCTGTCTGTTTACTACAATGGAGAAGACATTGAGGAAGGTTATTGCAGGTCTGGAATGCCAGTCCCTGACATAAGAAACTGTTCTTTGGGTCTGCCATTGCTGGTCAAGAAATGAACTTTGTTCCCTTTGGCAAAACACTGGGTCCAAGACTGGAGGCCTTCCAGAGCTCGAGCTGGAGTGCCCTTTAGACCCATGTTCCAAATTTCCACCTTTCTCTGAGCCTCTTGCACTGCACAGGATATTGTGAGAGTATCTGAGGTGCCATGAAGTGTTCTTTACCTTTAGATAATGGGAAGAGGTTACCAAAGGGCCACCCTGCTGCTGTATGTGCATAACAGCATCCACGACGTGCCATTATTTCTCACTCAGAAACAGCCTTTGCTTCTGCTAATTGCAAACTGAACAGCTTTCAGCTATGATGTGACTTACTTCCTGTGATTAATGTTTCTCCGATAAACTGCTTCTTGTGGTAGCCTGTCACCAAGGTATCCGTTCCAAAGACACTGTAATAACTAAGCAGATGTGCTGAGCCAAGCATTTCTGCAAGAACTTTTCATAGCTGATATGCAGATAAAGTTCTTAGTGTATTATTAAAAGGAGAAGAAATTCTGAATTTTGCCTAAAAATAAGTATTTTCTAAATCCTCCATTGCTTTTCTTTGTAGAAACCAGCTATACAACCAGCTACCTAATGGTCAGCTGCCCCCCAAGGCATGTGGACCAGATGAAGCATGTGGTTGTCCTTCTGAAAATTTTCCATCTCCAGCTGCTGTCCCAAGACCTCTCAGTAACCCTGCAGCCAGGGGAACTCTGAGAACCAGCAATCTGCCGGAGGAGTTGCGTAAGTGGTTAGCAAATTTGTTCTGTGCAAGTTTTTACAGCACAGCCTAACAGCTTTAGGTGGGAGAGCTCCAGAGTGGTGAAGGGGGAGGAAAAGGCAAGGGGAAATGACATTAAGACAAAGACAACAAGAAAAGAAAATACCAAGTGTCACCACATGTGTTGGGTGTGAGTGTCTGTGTTTGGTGGGATGGAATTTTCCCCTTGAATCCTGAAAACATAATGGTCATTAATTGCTTGTTGTTTTGTTTACAGAAAGTAAATACTGTTTAGATTGTTTTTATGACTCCTTGCTAAACAGGATGTCCCTTTGAGGCAGGAGGGGCTGGAGTTTACAGTAAAAGACTAAAAACAAACAAAGCCTGAGGAATAAAGTGTTTCTGCCTGTCCCAAATCAGACAGATATGTTGAGCCTTGACCTCAGTTTCTCCCTGAACTGGTGAGTTTGGAGAGGACTCTGGGACATGCTGAGGGCAGCACGGGCTCTGACATGCTTCTATTGCCACCAATGCCACATATGCATTCACCCTCCAGCTCAAGGGAAAGTCAGGTTTCAGAAAAATAGCTTATTTCTGAATGCCAATCTGACTAGCAGGTGAGATGTACTATTGCTAAGAACCCTCCACAGCTCTCCTGAGGTTTTGATTTTTCCTTTATTCTTCATTCTGCATATCAGCTTTCAAGTCCAGAGAGTCACACCTCTTGGCCTGTAGGAGTGAGTTATGATACCAGATGCCACTCTTGGATAGACCCTACTTTATCAGTTAGTGTGTCCTAGATGGAGGAATTAATTATTGGGTAAAACAGGCTCATCTGTGGTACATGCACAGCTGGATTAGATCAGCCAGCTGCTTTACCCTGATGCAAAGCCACGAAAACCCCTCCCACAAGGGCAAGGACATTGCTGTCACCAGCCATGCATCCTGCTGGCACAGGGTGTTAATGTTGCTCCAAGGAGAGGCAGTATGACATGCATAAGGGCCCTTCCAGCTCTGTCATACCAGTGGGTCTGGGGAAAACTGCTGGCTGCAGCCTGTCAGGTAACTTGAGCTGTGGGTGAGAGCCCAGGCTCGGGTATGCCCAAGTGCTGGGAAAAAGCACTCTGGCCACAGGGCAGGGGGAGCAGCAGAGGAGTTTGCCCTCTGCAGCTTGTCAGTAAAGCAGAAGGAGCTCAAATCTAGAGCATGGTTTTGTACAGGGGGTTGGTTTCAACACTGGGCCACTGCACTATCCCACATCCATTTAGTGAACAATCCAAAGAGACCTAAGTGGGTAGAACCTGTAGCGTGGTGGAGAAGGAGGGCTGTGCCAATCTCACCCTCTTAATGGTGTATTTAAATGTGTTGCGTATTCATACAGACTCTCTCTCCCAGGCAAGGTCTTTATAACCTACTCAGTGGATACAGCAGTGGAGGTTATGAAATTTGTGAACTTCCTGTCTGTAAACGGATTTCAAACTGCTGTAAGTATTCCTTCCAGAAAAAAATTACTTTCAGCCAGGGAAGAGACTTTTTTTAAAAATTAGCAGAGGCAATACACTGTCCATTTAAATTTTTTTCTGGTTGTCATCACATTTTGTAGGCTACAGAAGATACAAATAGAATGAACTAGCCTTGGTTTTGCAAGCTGTAACTTAAATGATCTGCCTTTTTGTTTATTCATCTTTTAACTGAATTTTGTGCTTTGAAGTATGCTTTAATAATGATCCTGGAAAATTTCACTTAGTGACACCAGATGGGCAATAGTGTGAGGTTTTGTGAGCTATTCCATTAATATTGTCTCATATTTGATCTGTAATATGAGTATTACAAAAGGTCAATTTTATGTTCTTCCCATCCTATCTTCTTTTCTCCAATGCTATCACATCATTGATTCTTCAGATGTGAGTAACTTTCTGCTAAAAAAGATCTAAAAGTAGATTCTAAAATTCACACAGCTTAATGAAACAGCCTTTCTTATGGTTTCATTTGCTTTGTTATCCCTTTAAAAGTGATTTTGCTTTGTTATACTATCAAAAGGGATTCTAAAAATCATTGGCCTGAAAAGGTCTGTGTAGTACTCTCTAATCCCATAAGCCGTTCAGTTTTTTACTGAATTTCTCATGAGTTTGCTTCATCATAGAGGGCTACAGAGGCTCTAGGATTCGGTGTTCATCAAAATCTTGATTAATATTTTCTTATTTCAAGAGCATATGCTATCTGACCCCTCAGCCTTCATGCTTTGGCTCCAATTCAGGAAAGCATTTAAGCAAGTGGCTATCATTAAACTGAACGAGACTCAGTGGGGAGCTTTGCACATGCTTATTTATTTTCATGAATCAAAGATTTTTTTACAGAGACTGCAATTATACTTCTCTCCAGCAGTTCTGTACTATGACCAATTCTGTACTATGACCACAGCTTTACAGAGTAGAAGCCTCATTAATAGCACCTTTGCTGGACAGGCAACCTTTGGAGCCTGTTGCAGAATAATAAATACAGCAAAATGGCCCCAAATCTGGGAAACAAGTGGGCTCTCTGCATTCAGAAAGGCGAAAATAAAGACTTGAGAGCAGATCATGACCCTTATCTTGAAAACTTGGAGAAGTTAATACTTCTCCATTGGTGACAGTCACTGATTGCTGGTTTCTGTGTGTACTGGGCATGCAGAGAAGCAAGCAGTGTTGATCATATTCAGTCCTATGAAGTCCTCCTGCTCTGCTGTCGTTGATCTCTGGGTGACTGAACCCAGTTATCTGTGCCAGTGACCTGGCTGACTTCCCACCACACACCCTGAATATTTAGTTCAATATGAAGCTAAAGCTTCACACTCAGTGTACCCTCGCAGTCAGAAAATAGCAGGCATACAGATGGAGAAGGTGGGCAGCGCCTTGTTCTGTCCAGTAAAAAATGCCTGGGAGTTGGGGACTGGCAGGGCAGCCAGTCAAAGGGCCAGCTGAGTGGGAGCCCAGGGAGGTGCCTGCAGCAGTCCTCTCTGCCTGCTGCCTGTCCAGCTTGACTCCAGACTGCACAGAAAGGGGAGAAGTGCATGTACACAGTTTTTTCCTAAGGGAATTGGAAATGCTTGTCATAAACAAAGGAGTAGCTGCTCTATCAGTGCCATAAAATAAGGAGGAAAGGTGAAGGGATGCTCACTGTGGACTTTTATTCTCTTGCAGATTGATATCTTTGAGGACACGGTACGAGGTATTGACATCATTAAGTGGATGGAGCGCTACCTAGGTGATGTATGTAAGGGCAATTTAACCTTGTTTATAGCAGAGGTGACCTGAGGAAAATGGTTGAATTATTCTAATACACAGCAGGGACAGAATGAAAATGCAAGACCCTACTGTTGTCTTCCCTGCCCCTGTAGAAATAGCAGAGGTATTGCAGAGAGAGTGTAAGCAAATCTCACTCGCATCTGTATTTGATGGTCCCAGAGCGCTTTCTTTAAGAAATGAAGTGCTAATTCTGGCATTCTTGCAAATTCCTAATGCTGCCTGTTACATCCAGCCTGAAACTGTCATTGGAAAAGTTAGTCCTCCATCCCTTTTTTCAATAGTGGGGTTTAGCTGTGCTTCATTACAGTGATATCTATATTTCATCCCAGGCTGCACAGTCATGGCTCATGTTCCTCTTTGCCACATGTAGCTTTTACACTGATATCTAAAATACTAATATCTGAAGGGTTCTTCTGGATAAACCATCCTACATTTAAACTGGAAATTGGTGTTCTCTTGGTTGATAAATAGATTTGCTCTTATCACTTTGTATCTATCTAAGCAGTAAAACGGAGATTTTATCTTGCTGCCAGTGCTGTCCCCTGCAGCAGCAACTTCTCTGAAGTTCCCCTGAGCAGTGATGGCACATTTTGCTAAGGACCAAGCCAAGTGCTTGGACTATACCAGCACAGCTGGGTGCAAACTGGTGATTCTGTTGCTGGACAGGAGCCATCATGGGCTGCCTTCCTTGGATTCTTGCCTTGCTGAATGGCCACTGGGTCTCTGACTCAGTCTGGCCTGATCTCCATGGTTCAGGAACAGGATGACAGAAGTGGTGGACTCTCCTCCACCTGAGCAAGGAACCTCAACCATCTGAGCCAGTCCTACACAGGTTTCCTGAAGGTGTCCATGCAGACAGGATACAACTGCATGCAGAGCCAGCCTGGGACCTCTGCCATGGAAATGCAGTCATGCCTACTGGGCATCAGGACAAATTAGGCTTGGGCTCACTGTGTGTAATGTAGGTAAGGAAACCAGAAGACAGGGTGACTTTGCTTTTGCCAAAAACATCATTGTCACTTAAAATACAAGCTAGCAGATCTCCTCTGGGACTTGTGCAGAGTCAGTAGGAGAAACCAGTATGTGCAGGGAACAATCTCCTGCCTCCACCTGAGGATCTTTCTCTGACTACCCACCCCAGAAAAGTTTGGTTTCCCTCACTGACTGTAGAGACAGTTTCTAACTTCAAAACCCTTACATGTGTGTGGAGAAGGGACTGCTTGGACACAAGCAGAGGAAAGTATGCAACTGGGCATGTCTCTTGCAAACCCTCAACATCTGTAAGTGCTTACACACATGTCAAGCACAAGCAAAAGTAATTCAGGAGTATGTTGAGTCAGTGAAAGGGATAATGGTTCCTTACCATATTTGACCCTGTGGTGGGGCAGATTCTCTTGATACAGCACAGAAGGAAAGAGTTAATTATGTGCCAGGCAGACTGTAAGATTTAGAAGCCTTACACAGGCTTCATGTGCCGGGGATGAAAGGCAGGCCTCAGGTAAGCCCAAGCAGGAAGCTTTCATCTGCTGCATTTCAACTGGCCTGCCGTTAAGGCGGAGAGATGTTTCCCAGACATAAAGGATGGCCCCTCTCTGGAAACCTGAGCTCAGTGTGGGGCTGGGATTAAACAGGTCAGAGGCAGGATCCAGGTTGTCCTAGCAAGGTCAAGGAGCATTGCCTTCAGCCCATCGTGACAGAGCTGCCAGGTACCCCTGAAGCTGCCCAGACCATCCACAACAGCCCCCCTGTCTGCACAGCAACCTCTCTGCACATTTTGCCACTAAGATCAGCAAAAAAAGACATAATTTCTGCCACTGAGAGCCCTAGAAGTAGCTTCCACAGACCGCTGTCTTTAGTAGCTTTTTCATAGATGACTAAGGAGATGCACTTCTACATAAGCTGTTGGAAAACATTTGGGTCTGAATTTAAAGACAAAAGTTTTCCTTGTATACACATAGACACTCGACACTGATAAAAAGTAGCTTTTTATGACAAGGATTCCAAGTGTCAACTGGTAGCTGCTAATACATCTCTTGATATTTCAGTTTTCTATATTGAGATGTTGAGAAATAACGAGGAGAATGAGTGTATGAGTTCTCCTGTATTTCCTGCCAGAATGAATGAGATCCTCTTGTGTTTGCCAGGAACACAAAGATCACTTAAAACACAAACTGGCAGATTTCCGATCTGCCTCTACCAAACACGCTGCGTTTCTCAATTTCATGAAAGTGCTTTTCTCCCTAACAGAAGACGGTGATGATAATCATAGCAATCAGTCCAAAATACAAACAGGATGTGGAAGGGGCTGAATCCCAGCTGGACAGGGATGAACATGGCTTACATACTAAATACATCCACAGGATGGTAAGCAAGGACATGCATTTTCTGTTTTACAAAGACTGTCTTCTTCTCAAAAGACAGATCTGTCTCCAAATGGCAGGTTCTTTGCTTTGTTTTCCCTAATCCCTATAGTTAAACACTCCTCTTTGGAAATCATTAGTCCTTCCTCTCATAAGCTCCACATGCTCATTAACATCTGCTAAGAGGTTCAAGGAAGAAAAATCCTATTAAACATGCTCATCTTATTTCTGCATATTCTTTATTGTTCAATGTTTTTCCCCTCCTTCACCTTCTTGAGCCCTAGTGTAGCACTGAGCACAGTCTTATCTAACAGTGCCTGACCTTCCTCCCTCTAAACCAGACCCTGTTGCTTCAGCCATCCTGGTCTTTTCTAAGGCAGCAGTAGAGCTGACTGAAGGATGGAATTGCAAAGCAAAGGCCGGAGATACAATGTGAGGCTCCTGGGGAGTGCACAGTGGTGCCAGAGGACTAGACACCCATCTCCACAGCCTGTCACAGGATGCATATTTAGCCCAGAAGAGCCCATAGAGCCATGAAGCTGATCCTTTCTCCCTTGGTTTGCAGTTAGCTGCCTTTCTCGGCCTGTAACCCATCTGATCCCCCAGCTGGAATATGCAGTTGGGTTTCTCAGAAGCTGTCACCAGCAGATGAGCTCTCAGCAGTACTTTGCTGTCCATACCACCCCTGGGATGCCTGTGTCCAGGGCCGTGGGGAACAGGCTGGGCCCTGGCTCAGACACGGACCTGCTCTGGCTGAAATGCTTCACCTGTTTGTAGGCCAGATAGGGGTGGGTGTTAGTCAAGTCAGGCTTCACTAGACTGAGATGGATTTCATGGGATTGCACCTGCAGCTAAACCCACAATTATTTCATGCCCTGAAACTAAATGTTCAACAAATGTTGACAGATCTTTCCTGTATCCTTTCTGTAGCAATGAAGTATTAGATTAAGTGGCCAAACCAAACAACACCAAGTCCACCAGGAATAGGTCAACTCATTTTACAGGAGAGCAGTTTAATTAAACAAGGAATGTTTTTATACATAGGGATCAGACGCATGCAGAGAAAAATTGTCACGTCATTACAATAAAACTGACTTTTTGTTCTATTCTAGATGCAGATTGAGTTTATACAGCAAGGAAGTATGAACTTCAGATTCATCCCTGTGCTTTTCCCAAATGCCAAGAAGGTAACATACAAGCATGCTTATATACTTTCCACATGATTAAATGCATATTATTTTGATCACAGTGCAGCAGATGGAATCTTAAAACTCAAACACTCAATTTCTTGGTTCTTAACAGCCTGCAAGTAATAGTCCAAAGCTTATAGTTTTATGCATTCTGAAGTTCCTATGTTATGTACATGCAAATAAAGAGCATTTCATCCACAATATAAATCAGAGTATAAATGTATTTCTGATGATGAATGTACAACTAAAATTCAAATTGCCTTGAGCACTGAAAGAATTTAAATGGAGAGGGGCAATCTATCCAGGAAGCATGCTTTTTATATTAACCCTTTTATAATTTTGTCCAAATGCAATGCTGATGAGTGAGATGGGCAGGATTTATGACTGATGTGAAGAGAGGGTCTGGAAAAGGGTGTATTGAGAATATAAGAATAAAGAGTATAATAAATAGTAAAGTAGAAGGCTGTTTCATGAACTTGGACTGGCCCATCAAAGCCAAGCAAAGATTTTTTAGGACTTGCAATTTCATCTGCCCTCTTTCCTTACTTGTTTTGAAGATTCATTTGAGAATAAGTAATGCATCTCTTCTACCTCACTGAGAGGATCTCTTGGATTTTTACAAAGACAGAAACATTAAAAAGCTTCACTTACAGCTTTCTCAGTCTCCTGCATTGTTGGGTAGGTATCATGTTGCCCCTAGATACAGCTGCATTTTAGAAAAGTATGGAAAAATTCTTTATATTTCTTTTGGTGCCCAAATTTTGGAACATGAACCAAAATTTAAATAATGTTATTAATGGTTATAGGGCTGTGCAGTCCCACTGCACTTGTGGATTTTAGTGTAATGAAGTTCTTTATTTAATCACTAATTTAAGATCAGAAATTAGAAAATATGTCCCCGAGTTTGTAAAATATGTAAGGTCCTGTGGGTTGTACAGTACCTCTGGTATTTCATGTCATTCAGATCCCTTCCTGAATGATCTTAGTCCGCTACTTATCTTAACTAAGTACCTGGAAGACAGCAGTGGTGGGAATTGGGCAGGCCAAAGCTAGAAAAGCAGTCAGCATTTTCAGTCAGTGTTGGATGGGGGAAAAAGGCTCCTAACCTTGGGGCTACTTGAGTGCCCACCATGAACAGACCACAGAGTCTGGAGCCATGTGGCACCTTAAGGGTTGCAGAGAAAAGTGTCCCAGGAGGCACTATAGCTGTCTTGGGGCTCTGAGACAGAACAGTGAGTTATGTTAATTTGGGCTCAGCTTTATTTATCAGAAGATTATTTAGTGTATAGCAGCAGTTCTCTCAGACAGTGGTCTGTAAGGATTTTCCAGGGTTGGTTTATCTAGCTGCCTCTATCAGGGCATCAGGCTCCAGGAATCCTTCCTGCCCATCCTCTGTAGTCTCCATAACCCTTTAGTTTTTTGAGAGGTGCCTTTCTCATTAAATTATGCAGATCAGCATTTTCTACTGCTGTTAAGCTTTAGTCTCTTTCTCCACATAATCCTTTGGTACCTCACCTACCTTCATCTAGCTGCTTAATGATAATGTAACTGAGGACATGGGTAGAAGGAGAGCACCTGAGCCTGAACATGTTGCAGTAATGAAGTCTGGACGCAGTCAGAGGAAGTGAGGTACCTGAAAAACTGCCAAGTATATATACAATTGGATGATGTTGGCAGGCAAATTACTTCAATTTTGTCTTTTTTATACTGTCCTTTATACATTCAAGTATTAGCATAGCTGGCAGTGGAAAAAAGCAGAAAATAAAGATTTGGAGGTTTCATCTGGGGATGGGGCTATTAGATGAGTTAATCTCATACACAGCACATCATAAAGCACTGCTGGTATGTGAAAATTAGTCGACCTCCAACAGGAAGAGATCTGTGTGATCCAAGGAGCGTTCATTAGGAAACTGAATAATGAGGCGAGGAAAGCACAACACAACAGTTAAGGTGGAACTGACATTTCCAGCTTCCAATATTCGCTACTAAAGGAAACATGGGTCTTGCTGGTTCAAGGTTTGCATCACAACAATGCACAGAAATGTGCCCTCCTCATCTGGCTACCTGATGACCAAAGCATTAAGCCAAGATTGCCCCATGCTGAGGCATCCTCTGGAAACAGTCAAGGAGTGAGATGAACAGGGCTGGTGCCAGGGAAGGCAGAAGATGTCAAACCATGCTCTGCTGTCACAGCCCTGAACAGTCCTGTCCTCTGCACCAATACACTCTGCCCTCTTCCTACCAGTTTGAACTGTGGAGTTACCAAATACTCTCCCTATGGCATAGAGAGAATTTTCTTCTCAGTTCACAGATACACGGCAAATTTTAAAAATGTAAAGGACAGTAACCATTTTCCCATTACTCCCACCTCCAATGACAGATGCTGTTGCATGGCATGGAAATGCCCCTTTCTCACTCTGGATAAAAATAGCAGCTGTAGTTACCCCTTACCCCTACACACCTCCCTCAAATTACAACTGTTGCCAGAGCTGATTCATGTTCAAGAGCTTTTTGCACTGACTTCATTATGGAGGGTATTAAACTAAACTGCAAGGCACAGAGCTTATCTCTGAATGTATAGTGCCTCTCTCATTATATCCTCACTTGCTGATTTCTTACTTACTACACATTTCTCACACTAATTTCCATCTTAACTAATAAGTTACCCATCTGGACCTCTATCAAATGCATTTCTGCAATCTAGACTGACTATACTGTATATCCTTTGTCCAAAAAATGTAGTTTCTTATCAAAGGCAGAGAAAGGGCTCATTTGGTAAACCCCCTGCCACATTTAATTGCATTTCCTTCTATAGCTTGTAACAAGATTTAGTAAAGAAACAAATTCCATGTAACAATGGTATGCATGTGCATGCAAACATAGTTATCTTTCTTTCTCCCAGTAACATTTGAGTCTCTTGGCCAAGTCCAAAGAGCTTTGTTAAAGGAATTAAATTCAAAAAGATTAAAATCTCTTCCTATGCCAAAATAAAAAGACTAGCAGGTGGAGGCAAAAAGCCTTATTTTTGCTCCTACCAAAAGGAATGCTGTGGGATCTTACCCCTGTGCAGTGAGATATCCATCTGGAAGAACAACCTCCACTTTAGGGAGACCATTGACCAAAGCTTATCCTTTCTCAGCCACTGGAGAAAAGAGGAAGGTCAGGTTTTTAGATACCCCTGCTAATCATAAAGCTGCTTGTTCAGAAGCCTAGGTGAGTTCATACTAATGGTGTCTGTGTGACTTACCTCCTTCTTCCTATACATAAAACCTGTAGCTCTAACAGAGTGGTTGCATCAATTAACACAAACTGCTCCCTGAGCAGGGAAAGTGATGCGGCCTTGTTCCTACAGCTTTACAGGCCAAGGAAAGACAGCCAACTTGAGAAGCATGATCATGGGAATGACAGGTTTGGGCTGCAGCTAGGCTGTTTGCTGGCAGCAGGACATGTGCAGCCCATGCCAGGACATCCCCTGGCAAGGTGCCAGAGATGTGCGTGCCAGCAGCTTTTCGCTCTCTCCTCTTGGAGCTAGCTCCACTAGCTTGACAGGAACTGTGTTGCTCCTAACAGGGGCTATCTTGGGAAAATAAGAGGTCCAGGGACCAAGTGCTGAATGTCCTGGCTCTTCATGTTGCTTACCTGCTGTCTCATTTTGGCTAGGTTCTGATGTCTCCAATTCCAAAACAGATCTCTCTCTCATGGTGACCATGAACTGGTTTTAGTCAATAATCTGTCCCTCTGTTAATTAATAGTATTGTAATAGCCCTTCACCCCTACATATCCAGGCTGTCCCTATGGAAATTTCCCATGGCTATGGGAACATGAGGGTTGAACAGGCTTGTCTCTATCAGCTGGCTGTCACGTCCAGTGCCATGGTGGTCCCAGCTTCATTATGTTAATGGGCATTAGCCAACCCCTATGAAGGACTGCATCTTTTGCAGGATGCAGGAATTGGAGGTTTAACCCTGCTAATCTGGAGATGCATTGGTCTCTGTGCAAGCTCAGCATCAGCTTCAGCCTTCTGGTCAGTTGGTCAGAGCACACCATGCTTGGCGAAGAATGGTGCAAAGGGATGGGGAGAGGGCTACCAGCATGTGAAATGTTCTTGTGGGGTCCCAGTCTTTCCCTATTGATCCTCATCCCAGTGTTGAACATGCTGTATGGATCCTTTAGCAGCTACTAGGGTAGCAGCCTTTCCCTGCCAGGGGCACTGAAATTCTCCTTCTCCTTCTCCTTCTCCTTCTCCTTCTCCTTCTCCTTCTCCTTCTCCTTCTCCTTCTCCTTCTCCTTCTCCTTCTCCTTCTCCTTCTCNCCTTCTCCTTCTCCTTCTCCTTCTCCTTCTCCTTCTCCTTCTCCTTCTCCTTCTCCTTCTCCTTCTCCTTCTCCCCTCCCCCCCATTCCCTCCCATCCCCCCCTCCCCTCCTCTCCTCTCCTCCTTTTCAATGCCTGTTATTGACATCAGACTTCCTTTGAAACATGGTGAAATTAGCCAATGTGATGGCAGAAGAGAGACAGGCAAGCTGTGAGATCGCACAAAGTTCATTTATTTCGGAACCCAAATACAATTCTGAAGCCAAATTAACATTTCTTGTTGTTACAGGAAGTGACTAGAACAGACAGAATTAAATCTTCCTTGGCAGGGTGTGACGGAATCTGAGATTCTGGTAAAGATTCGGACGGATTTATGGGATTTAGCTTTTCTTTTCCTTGTTTGTTTCAGGAACACGTGCCTACCTGGCTGCAGAACACTCACATTTATAACTGGCCAAGGAATAAGAAGAACATCCTTTTGCGGTTACTGCGGGAGGAGGAATACGTTGCTCCTCCAATAGGACCTTTACCAACACTCCAGGTTGTGCCGCTATGAACATTGTGACTTAAAGCACACGAAGAGTGGTTGTTAAAGGGTTGTTCCTGGCGGGGAGCCAACACTCTTCCAGATGGCTCTTTTTGATGACAGAAGACACTCTTTCTGCTAAACGAATTGGTTGTCTTGGGTTACTCAGGCTCAGCTTGTTCTCTACCTTGTTAAACATCTATTTCCAAAGCTGATGGAGCATAACCCTCTTCTCTAGATTTTTAAATAAGCTGGAAATGGAAAGAATGCCCACTTTTATTTTAACATCTGGTTTCAACACACTCCTTTTGTTAGTCATTATAGCAAACAAATACCAGAAAAAATATTGCAATAAGTGTAAAATAAAAATTACATCTTCCTTTTTGCTCAGGGTTTCTTTAAAGATATTCCTGCTTTGTATAGCATTATTGAACCATCAATTTGTAGATATAATATACACTATTAAATATATTTGCCTCTTGTAAGGCAATCTTATATACCATGTCTACTTCTATTATTTCTGGGGATAATGGAGAAATGGGTTGGGTAAGGCAGATTTTCCTTAGCCTGGCTGGCATAAAGAGACTCGTCTTCAATTAGAGGACTTTCAGATCTGAAATCTCTAGAGTTCCCTTTCCTTACAGCTTGGTCCCTCACACCTCCAGTGTGTTGCAGCAATAGTCCCCAAAAGGAGAGCTGAATGCATGACTACATGTGTGCTGTCAGTGCTATGGAACACTGCAGTATTTTTTATGGCAGGCCTTTAGCCTCACTCACTATTGCTCTTCAGCCCTTATTTAAAGCAGAGCATGTCAAAGGACAATTGGCATTTGGGAAGCCAGCGATTGTTAAGAGAAAGAGCATTGATTCATACACCTTGGAATATGCAGTATGGAACAATAAAATAATCAAAGATGGAGAGCCACAGGGTGCTGGCCACTAGGATGGCTCAACAACATCACGTCTGCTAAAATGAAACATATTTTAACAGACCACATAAGGACGACTTCAGTGAAGGTTTTTTGTTTTTAACAGCCTTAACCTTAATGAGGTAACAGTGGACCCTATTGGCTTAAAATTCTGCAGCCCTTATTCTTTACAGCAGTCATACCAAAACCCTCCTCAGCTTTAATGTTTGCCATAGAATGATCCAAACACGGCTTTATGAAAAAGTACATGTGTTTGGTAGCCTGAAAAGAAAATTAGCCCAGAAGTTGATACTTCTTATACAGTATCCAAATTATTTAATTAGCTTTCATGGAGGTGGTACCAACATGATGTGTTGATGCAGCACATGCTTTGTGGTGCTTATGGAGAAAAAAATTACAACTCAGATGTTCCTTTAGCAGACTTTTGCAAAAATAATTGCAGCCATTTAAGGGAAGGGTGTATTCACTGTTGTCAGCTCCAATTATTTTTATTGTGGTATTTTCTGTGCTTCTTGCAACTCCAGTTTCAAAAGGGAAGCTCAACAACTGAAAGAGGCCAATACCTGATGTGCCAGCAGCTTCCTGAGAAGGCACAATAAGACTGTGTTAGGCAATGGTACTTCTTGGCACCTACTTACACGTGGGGAAGGGAGGTCTATTTTCATTGTGATAAATTTTCAATTAAGAAAATAATTTTCTAGTATGTGGTGACAGCCTAAAGTCATGACAGAAATTTACCTTAAATGGTCAACAAAGTAAACACAAAAGGAGTGGGATGTGGGTCGACATTTGGGGTCACCTGGAGTGCACTACAGCATCGAGTTCAGCCCCTAGGTTGAGCGAGTCTCCTGAAATGCTGTGGCATTATCTGCCAACTCAGTATGGCTGCCTCTGTTATTTTAAGGTATCTGAAGTGTTTTAGCACTGTGAATTGTCTGTCTCAATTGGCTTCTGAGCCTCTCAGCTAATTTATGCCACATTTAATAGGGAGAGCTCAAAGATACTAAGTGCCTGTGAGTTTCATGGGAAGACTCCCAAACCCACATGCTGAGGAGGGAGAGGTTCTGGTCTCTTCCCAGAGATGGGCAGCTGGTCACCCTGGCCCTGGCAGGGGTCTGGGTGGCCTTCTGGGTTACACAGCTTGCACAAGTCTGGAGGAGAGAAGCATGTAGGGAATGAGGCTGTGTCAGTTTTGCTGCTTGCAAAGCAGCGTATTAGGGAGTGCAGTAAAGCATTCAAGATGATTAGTGAGGCTGGGTAGTAAATTCCTTTCATCATTTTCGGCTGTCATCCGAAAATATGTGCTCTAGATTTACCACAGATTTCTATGGTTTGGGCTAGGGAATTTCATTAAGTAATTCCTGCATCATGTGATGCACAAGGTTGCATTAAATGGTCCAGTGATTATTTCTATTCTTCTGTTTGAACGATTCTTTTCTGCAAAACAATACTATCAGAGTGGGGAAGAAAAAGTAAGCTTTGCTGTTTGGGAAGTACAAAGAGCCAATCTATTTAACTGCTGGGGCCTTTTTTTTTTTTTTTTTTAATCGAATAACAATTCCCAGGATTCATTGATCTTTACATTAGTTAGAGCATCCTACAAGGACAGAAACCATGATGGGGAGAGTGTGAGTAATGAGCTAGCAGCCTACTGAATCATTTCCCCTAAAGCTTTGTATTTGCAGAGAGACAGATGGTGGGAGCTGTGAAGAGGGAGAGGCAGGAGAAAAGCCGATTTTTGCAAACAGCAGAAATATAGAGAACGGTGAAGAAAGGAAAAAACAAGGAAATAATCATCAGGTAAGGAAGAAGAAGAGGCTGCGAATACACCAGCTGTTTCAAAAGTAATACATTAATGTTAAAATGAATTAGGGATAAGGGAAAATAAAAAAAAGGAAATTGCAGAAAACAAAGAGCTTTGTGGCTGAGAAGGAAAATTTACCAAGCGCAGCCCTAAATATATATTTATAGATGAATTATTGAGTCAGTTATTAAGTGCCAATAACAGAGAAGTAGCTGAAAGTATGCAAGACTCCATCCTGCAGGCTGACATCCTGCTGCCCAGCTGGAGCTGCCAAGCTGCAGGTACCCACAGAGGCAAAAGGCATCACCTGGATGGCAACAGCACCAGGGATTTTTCTCATAGCACCTGTAAATTTGCAAGGGAGTGGGAGAGGAAATCCATTGTCTCTAACATGGAAAGTAAGCAAAGCAAGAGAGTTACATACTTAACACTGGGATGAGTGCAGCATTAAGATAGAAATAGAGGATTGGGATAGCCAGCTTGGAAGGCTTGCCAAAACTCAGATGACATTATTGCATGTAAAGATTTTTTTATGCAAGTCACCTGTGTGACCAAAATAGGGTTGCAAAATTTTATCCCTCAGTCAAGTTAGATCCACCCCTCCAGAGAGGGATGTGTAGGGTGATTTGAGTACAAAGTTAATTTAATAAAGCCTTGTATACAGGACAAGAAATGCTGCCCTAAGAACCTAAGAGCTCATTTGCTCCTAGTAGGGTCTTAACTGCCATCATTTGATTGATGCCAGGTAAGAAAATAAAGTATCAAACTTCCCTGCAGCCCCTTTGGGACCACCAGCAAGGCAGATAATGAAACTGTCTCATTTGAACAGCTCCACCAAAGGGTGCCTTGCTGAGACCCTTCCTCTCATCTCCAGCCACTGACCAGGCTGCAGGAAGCAGAGACATGGGCATCTCAATAACTGCATCAGTCTGGGCAGGGACCTTGGGCAGTGTGGTCAGGAAGCTCCTCAAGGAGATAAGAAAAGGAGCAATTCCCACCATTTAGGATGCTTCTGGGTTGTCAGATGGAGGCGCTGGTAAAGCTGACAGAGACCCCTTGTCTTAAAGGGGAAGGGGATGTAGGAGGGAAGAAATGGGAGCTCTGTGGCCTTACAGTGCAGGAGGTCTATTGTGGTGATGAAGTAAAACATGTCACAGAGGGTTCCCTCACCTTCAGTGTGCAGAAAAGGCACATGTTATCTCCCAAAGCAAACATCTCTCTTGTTACACTTTGGCTTTAATTTAACAGGTTCCTCTATGCCCACATCTGTAGCAGTCTGCTAATGTTTTACCTGTGTTTGGGAAACAGATCTTGCCTGGAAGGTCACAGCTTTTGTCAGCCTCCTCCTCCACCATCCTTTATCACCCTTTATCACGATGTTGCTGCAGGGAAGCACTGCCACAGCACCCAGTTTGCAGTACTGATGGGCTGGCACTGCTTCTTCTTCCCAGAACCCCCAACATGGGTCTTCTGCAGAAGTTCCAGGCTGGCACACTGCACATTGGTATTACACAGCTCCAGTGTGTCACTTCTCCTTGAACAGTCCCCTCAGCCAGCATGAACCACACTGGCACATGAGCATCTCAAAACAGCCACTTGCAAAACCCTCTCTGAGACATCAGACACACCTCTCCCACCTGCATATTACAACCAGTGCAGGAAGATAAATGCCTGTATTTATGTGGCATTTGTATAACAAGTTATTGCTCACGGCAAGAGGTGTCTCTGGGATACAGAACTTCTGAGCAAGCAGAGGTTCCACTGCCATGGCAGAAGGGTGCTGGATGCTGCTGCCTACACATGCAAAGCCAAACCAGGCCCTGAGATGCCAGACCATAGAAGAAGGCAGCAGAGTAGCAGCTTGTCCAATCCCACTCCAAATTAGGCCAAGAATAAGATGGAATTGCTTAGCCCCACTCCAGCCTTCATCGGCTCAGAGCCCAGCCTCAGCCTGATCATGGAACAGTGCACAGACCACCAGCTGTGTGTCTCTGTCTGTGGCCAAGATCACTTGTAAACAAACAAAAAACCATCTAAAGCTAAGTTGCCCAGCTAACCAGATCTGCCAGCTGGGCTACATTTCAAGGGCTCGCTGATGTAGATGGGACCAAACAAATACAAACACAGATACTCCCTGCATCATGGCTCTGAGCACTGAATGCCACTGCACAGATTCATGCAAACTGGAAAAATGTCACCAGAAGCAAAATCAGGGTTTTTAAAAATATTTGTCCTTTATTGAAAAGTATCAGGGACTTCTCCAGTTTCCAGAGTGTGAGGGGGAAGCGCCTGCTTGCCCACCTAACCCTGGGGTAACGGGAGTTTAACACCAGGTACTAAGTCCTTGGGGCTAATGAACAGATCCAGGAAATCTCAGGTGAATCTTGGATGAACCCAGTGGATATAAAAATCCCTGCAGGACTGGCTGTTGTGGAAGGGGGATCTGCCAAGGAGTAGGAAACTTCCCAGGAGCTACTTTGATGGCTAGGCAGATGAAGCCCTCTCTGTCTGATTTGTACTTTTCTAAGAATGGGA